AAAAAGCAAAAAAAAAAAAAAAAAAAAAAACAAAAGAGAATGCAACAGACGGCGAGGGAAGCGGAGGCCCGGGCGATCGGAGAGAAGAAGGTGAAAGATCTGATGAAGGCCAACAAGCGGTTGGTGGAGGTGCCGTATTCAGCCTCTCTCGCTCACACAATGAACGTTCTCGTCGCTAACCGCGTTGTGGCGGTCCCCGTGGCGGCGCCGCCTGGCCAATGGATCGGTGCCGGTGGATCCATGATCATGGAGACTGATAAGCAGACTGGGGTTCTTAGAAAGCACTATATTGGGATGGTGACCATGCTTGATATCTTGGCTCATATTGCTGGCGAGGAGGATGGTCCTGGTCTCGTCGATCTCGAACGGAAGATGGCGGTTCCAGTGTCGTCGATTATTGGTAATAACGTTGAAGGGTTGAGTCTCTGGACTTTGAGTCCCAACACCAGGTTTGTTTGTTTGTTTGATTAAGAGATTATGCTGAATTATCATAACCTAGTCAGTCAAATAATATACATTTTTTTCTCTATATGTATTTAATATATTAAATATTAATTTGAGTATTTTAAATTAAATATTATTTATTTATTTAATATATTATGGTGAATGATCCATCCTAACGTTTTGTAGTCATTTGGTAATTGATTGTGAATGTGGTGATTAAGTTTTTTGGTTTGGGTTATTGACGATGTTGTTGACAGCATATTAGAGTGTATGGAGTTATTCAGCATGGGGATCCACCGGGCGATGGTGCCCATCGATGGGGAGGCGGCTGGGGTGGAGCTGGTCAAGTCGGCCTCCAGCTACAGAATGCTGACACAAATGGACGTGTTGAGGTTTCTAAGTGAACAAATCCCAGAAATGCAACAGACTTTGGGACAAAGTGTGAAGGAAATGGGAGCCATTAATGAAAATGTTATGGCCATTACAGATAAAACCAAAGTAATCGAAGCCATAAAGTGCATGAAATCTAGTTTTCTCAATGCTGTTCCTATTGTTAGAAGCACACAGCTCGGCGGCGACCACACCCACACCCAGCTTTTTACTGTATGTCCACTCATTTGCCATTGTGGAAAGTCGGAATCGTCTCATCGCTGAGATTTGTGATTCCTAACTTTGTTAATCCTCTCTCACAGGGAAGAGGAAGAAAGCTAGGTGGGACGTTTTCGGCGACGGATCTGAGAGGGTGTCACCTCGCGACGCTGCAGACGTGGCTGCAGCAAACGGCATTGGAGTTCACGGAGACGATCGGGAAAAGCGCGCTGCTGGAGGGGACGGCAGTGGGAGGGAGAGAACTGGTGACGTGCGGAGAGGAAAGCTCGATGAAGGAAGTGATGGAGAAGGTAGTGTCGAAACATGTGCATAGAATTTGGGTGACTGATGAACATGGTTTGCTGCTTGGGCTCATCTCTTTGTCGGACATGATTAGAGCTATTAGGCTTTCACTTCTGTCTCAAATACAAACCTGACCTGATAGCCCTCCCTATCTCTATATATTTATGTTTGTATGTTTTGTTTATATTTGTGTTTGATTATGAGTGGGAGTTTGTTGAGCATTCTCTCTAGAATTTGGTTGATTTTGAAGCCTGGTATACCATACCGTAGTTAATTTTTAAAAATTCTAAAAAGTTCTATATCGATTGCTGCATTGATTGGAGAGAAAAGGTGTGCCAATGAGGACCGCGGTCATGTGTATATATGATATCTAGTTTGGACATATCAAATTTTTAATTTTATAGCTAATAAATACGTAATAAAAAGAATATTAGCGGTAAAAAATGATTCATTTGTATGTGTTAATTTTGTTCCTAGTGTGGGGTTTCATGGTACCTACATCACACGTAATCGATGTAATCTACGAACTCGTATACCATATGAATAGACGATTTAATTGAATATCTTTTTCAAATTCGATGCATTTAAATACAAGATGATGGCGGTGTAATTCATCAACATTAAATTATAAACGAATAAATGAGTATAATGCTAAATTCCAAATTACATGAGGATTGAGGCGACGGCACCTGTAACAGGATTATCACGATTGATAAGATTAGTGTGTGAGATGGACGGTGGAGAGTGCGGACACGCGGCAAGACTCCATTGGATGCCATTATCCGTAGTTGGATTTGGCGTTTGAGAAGAAAGAGAAATAAATAAAAGATAAAGAGAGAAAAAACAAATTCAAATAATAATAATTACTGGAATACTATTTCGATCCTCCTAAATCCCTAATCCACAAAAAGTTTTTATGGGTGGGAATGAGTTTTAAAAATATATTATAAAAAGTATTGTCTAAAAAATATCTCTAAAATTTTAAATTTAATCATAATATATTTTTATTTTTTAAAAATGAAAAATTCACATGTAAAATGTGGAGTGTCAATAATTATTCCCACCAATGACGTGGAAATTTTGAGTAATAGTCTTTTTTGTCTAGTGGTGGGCCCCATGAAGTCTGCTTCTAACAATTTGAATAAATGATTTTTTTAATAGAAAAAAGAAAAAAAAAACAATTTTAATAATTTTATTTTCTCACAATATTAAGTAATTAAACTAATCATTTTTTGTTACACAATTCTAATTGAAACAAAACATTATATAACCCACCATCCAATTGTTACAACTGAACGCTGAAATTAGCATAATTAAAATATTAAACCATCTAAATGACGTAAGTAACATATGTTACAAACATATTATTATTATTATTATTATGATAATAAATATTCTTAATTTGAAAATGTTATTTTCACTAAGTGCATTAAAGGCAATGAGTGAAACAAAAATTGAATAAATAAATTATTTTAAATTTAGGAGACTGATGATGATACATTAGGGCTTGAATTCTAGGATTCAATAAATTATACTTGAGAGTCTATTTAAATACGTAATAAATCAATTGCTCAACCACGGAAGACCAATCTCTCACCTACTTTATCATTAAGAATTCGCCATTTTTCCCCCTCACATTTTTAAGAAAAATCTGAGATCTCTGAAATTTCCCCATCCCCATCCTCTTCCTCGATACCTCCGCCACCAAACCCCGATCTATAAAACTCTCCCACCCTTCCTTCAATGCGCTCCTCCGCGATCTCCGATGGCATCCAACGGTGCTGCAACAACTCTAACCGGCAATCTCCGGCATAGGATAGATAGCCGCAACGGTAACGGTATCGGAAACGGAAACGGAAACGAGGGAGGGAAGATGACGAACAAGGATTTCCACAGCGGCGATGGCGGCGGGTACTATTATAAAGGGTTCCGGAAGGCGTCGTGTATGAGATGGACGGTGGAAGATGTGGCACACGTGGCGAGGTATCACTGGATACCGTGCGTTTTCGCTATGGGTCTGTTGTTCTTTATGGGCGTGGAGTACACTCTCCGGATGGTTCCGCCGGCTTCTCCACCGTTCGATTTGGGGTTTGCGCTCACGCGCCCGGTGCATCGCGTGTTGTCCTCGTGGCCAGAGCTGAATACGCTGCTAGCGGCTCTGAACACGGTTAGCCTTTTGTTTTCCCAACTTTACTCGCCCAATCAATCATCGTCCTTATATTAATGCATGCCTGAATTATTAATTTCTTTTTATTTTCTGAGTTCTGTGCAATAGTTATAATTTTCTAATGATTTATTTTAGAAAAAAAAAAAATTAAAATTGAAAAAATAGTTTTAATTATTTGGATGAAAAATTGTAGGTGTTTGTGGGAATGCAAACAACATATATATTATGGAGTTGGCTAATCGAAGGGCGTCCAAGGGCCACTATTTCGGCCTTGTTCATGTTCACTTGCCGTGGCATTCTCGGCTATTCCACCCAACTTCCACTCCCTCAGGTGTGCGTTGTGTCATGGTCATGCTCTTTTATGCTCTTCAATCTCAAGCATTTACTTGATTTTGGTTTTTAAATGTAGGGATTTCTCGGGTCGGAGATGGATTTTCCAGTGGGAAACGTATCGTTCTTCTTGTTCTTCTCTGGTCACGTGGCGGGATCGGTGATAGCATCGCTCGACATGCGACGGATGCGACGGTGGGGGATGGCTTGGATGTTCGACTTCCTCAACCTCCTCCAAGCGATTAGATTGTTGGGTACTCGAGGTCACTATACAATTGACTTGGCGGTGGGCGTGGGAGCCGGAATTCTTTTCGACTCGCTTGCGGGGCATTATTATGAAGCCAGCCAGAGGAAGAACATTGAGGACACTAAGTTAGCTAAAACTTTTGCATAATTGGTTGTCACCCGAAACCACAGATTATTAGGAGAGAAGACCCGATTGGAGGACCATTTGAATTAGTACGTTGGACTTTATTTTTATCTTCAATTCATGGTTAATGCCTTTTATTTTATTAATTCATATTTTTAATTTATTTTCTATGCAAAGGATATATTATTAAATTCGTTTAATCTTGGTTTATCTCTAACCGAGGCGTTCTAATTAAGTTGCAGAATGGGCCAGCATCAAATAGTGAAAAGCCCAAAGTCCAAGGCCCAATGCTACCTTCGGCCCTTTATTTAAAATTAATTTACTATTTTTAAATTTATTGCTTTTATGTTTATTCGATGGTATCGTGAAAAGAAAAATATATGATTCTTAAAATAAAGGTTATATCTTATTTATTATTCCATTTAATATTGGTTTTTTTTATAATTTTTGTTTCTTTGACTTCTTGTCCGTGCTTGTCATTTATAAGATAGGGTCACATTTCTTACTTTTAATTTCTAAGAGGGAAGACTATCTCTTATTATTGAGCCACCGAAAAAATGTGTATATTGTTGGTATAAGTAGTAACTTCATTTCTTTTAAGTTTTTTTCTTAGTCATCCTAATTCTAGGATGGTTCTCATTCCGATATGGTCTTGATTCATTTATGTATCCTTATTTTATTCGAATGTCATGTGATGGAGTATCTGTATCATGCATGCTTCTCCACTGATGACAAAATGACCTTCGAGACTCTTCTAGGCTTCCGCATTCATATGCTTTTGCATTGGGACTGATAGCGGGAAGACCCAGAGATCATAAATCAAGAATGAGATAGGAATAGAGGCATTTAGCCCAACATACTCCGATGAATGGGTCGGTCACTTAATCCAAAGACAACGAAAGGGATCGACAAGTAGTATTTTGAATATGGGTCGGTTCAAGTTGGGTCTTTCTTAGTTGTAGCATCTCTTTTATATTTTAAAAAGCTCTCCATGTTTTCATTTTAATTAATTCACATCTTATTTTTTAGGTAGCGTGAGTTAGAAGAATCTTTCAAGAATTCCACGACTGCAAGAATTCCACGACCGCAAGAAAAAGGCGATTTTGTGCTAAATGCCAGCAACCTCTTTCCCACCCTCAATAAAATGATATCATAAATGAATAACAACACCATAATTAGCCTAGTCTCTGTATATCATATAAATTAAATGGTGCCTCATTTTTCCGGGCTCACCCCTGATAGATGAACTGCTTTAAAATTTCTTTAATTATTTTTAATTACAAGCAAAGTTTCTTCTTCCAATTGATCTGAGATCTCATAATCTGAAATTAGTTTTGGAGAAGTTTTCATACCTTTATAAGGAATATTTTATTTTCCTATCTCACAATCCACTCTCCTTGGGAGGCCCAGCTTCCTCGCTGGTATACTGCTCGATATTTAGCTCTGATACCATTTGTAACAGTTGAAGTCCATTGTTAACATATATTATCTACTTTGACCCAATACATAGCGAGTCAAAACATATTGTAGCACTTGATCTAATCATTTAAAACCCACCACACAAATATTTGGAGAAATTTTTTGGTGAAATTTTTTGGTGCATACAGTTGAGATGAGTTTGTAGGACGTTTACGTTGTTGCATGCTTTAAAATATTTCAACCACTAGAACCATGAAAGCTATGTTATAGTATTAAAGTTTTATTTTTCTAAAATCAAGTTCAACCTTATATTATATTTTTGTTATTTTTGTTTATGAAATATTAAGATGAACTTGATTTTGTGTTACTATATTAACAACATGTCGTTGAACGAAACGAAACACATGTCACTACAATTGACTACGAGAGAGATTTGATAATATGAACACAATTACATATGATCCAAAGTATAGGTTTGAAATGGTTTAAATGGGTAGCCTCCCAACCCTAAGCAGGTGTGAGATGAAGGGTTTGAATTTTTATTGATCCCAATTAATTTGACAGATGCAGGGTTATTTAATGCTCTATTTTGTTTTCAACTTTTTGCACATGCTCCATTTCACCTAATTTGTCATCTGCCCATCCATTTCCCAAAGTTCTCAGTGAGCTCGGCCCTTTCGACAGGGATGCGTAAGATTCTATATTGGTAAGACAGGAGAACCAAACTTTTTTTTTAATAAAGATGTGAAAACATCTCTCTAGTAGACGCGTTTTAAAGCGAACAATATAGCGGTGAACTTGACTGTTACAAATGGTATCAGAGTCAGACATCGGGCGGTGTGTTAACTAGGACGCTAGAACCCTCAAGACAGGAAAATTTTAAGATCCCACATTAATTAAAGAGGAGAGCGAAGCATTCGTTATAAGGGTGTACATAGTTTATATTGATCAAGAACTTTACAAGTTCCTTCCTCAGCTAAATGATATCATTTTTCTTTTGCTATAGTCCACATTTGAAGGGGAAAAAGAAGAGATATCGAAGAAGTTGAGAGAAGATCCATCCACCTATTTGTTAGGTGGGAACTTTTGGCATATCTAGTTGAGATGATGTAGATATTAATAGGGCAGCTATTAATATCTTAGACCTGAAAATGGGCTATTTTTGTTTGATCAACATTTGTAGACACTGACCTTCTTACCTTTTTCTTTAAGACCTAAGGAACAATTAATTAAAGGATGTCAGTATATAATTTCATTGTGAGATTTCACATCGATGGACGACGTAGGAGTGGAAAACAAAACATTTTTTATTACAGGTGTGAAAAATTTTCCTTAGTAGGCACATTTTAAAACTGTGAGGCTGACGACGATCCATAACGAATGAAAATAGACAATATCTGCTAGCGGTGACTTAGAGTTGTTAGAAATGATATTAGAGATAGACATTGAATATCAATGCGAATGTTAGGTTTTCAAATGGGTGGACCGTAAAATCTCACATCGGTGGGAGAGGAGAACGAAACATTTTTTATAAAAATGTGGAAACCTCTTCTTAAAAGACACATTTTAAAATCGTGAAACTGACGACGATACATAACGGGTCAAAGCGAACTTGAGCTGTTACATTCAAATCTTTGACTTGTTGATAGAAGGCACTTATTTTATAGTAGCGTGACCTCAAATTAAATTACTATATTTAATAGATTTTAACAATACACTCATTTCAATAATTATATTTATCCTTTTGGCATTAACCTCATTTATTTAGAAGTTTCATACAGACATTTCTTTCCCATCATATTTGATAAATAAATAAACAAATTTCAATTGTGTTGTTAACCATAAATTGGACTGAGCAAGTTCTTTTAAATTTCTTCTTCCATATAGCTGCTAAAACCACTCACCTACCCCACACCATAATTTTTCAAATTGCATACAAACCATTGAATTTAATAATAATAATAATAATAAAATGGAACCCCTTTTTACTATAAATAAAGGCTGAAGCATTTGAGGACTTGAGCATTTGAGCTGAGGCAGTAGTACTTCCAAAGTCCCATACTCTGTGTTGTCTTTGCTCTCTGCCATTAACGTCCTCTAATGGAAGCAATAAAAAAAGAGCTTGAAGATACAAACAATGATCAGAAGGCTATGGCGGTCGAAGATGAAGCTCCGGTGAGGTCGGGACAACGGCCGATTTTCAAAAGAAAATGGACAAGTGTAGACAAACGTACTGCTGGTGCTGTTTTGGCTATGCATTTGCTTTGTCTCTTGGCACCATTTCACTTCACTTGGCCAGCCTTCTGGCTTGCCGTTGTACTCTACATTATCACGGGCCTGTTTGGTTTGACACTTTCGTACCACCGACATCTCACGCACAAGAGTTTCAAACTTCCCAAATGGCTTGAATACACGTTCGCTTATATTGGCGTCCATACCTATCAGGTTAATCATACATCGTTTACCATTCTCTCTTTTTCCTTCGGGATTGTTAAGCCTTTGTTTTGATGTGATTTTATAGGGTGACCCAATTGATTGGGTGAGTACGCATAGGTATCATCATCAGTTTGTTGATACTGAAAGAGATCCACACACTCCGACACAAGGATTTTGGTTCGGTCACGTTGCGTGGATATTTGATTCGTATGGTTTGACAAAAAAAGTTAGTCCGAAACACGTTGAAAATTTTGAGGAAAGAAATCGAAAAGGAAAGCTTTTTAGAAATATTTTTGTGGGATATTTGAAATATGGAAGACCAAACAATGTGGAGGATTTACAAAAGCAGGCCTTTTATAGGTTTCTTCGAAGAACATACATTCTTCATCATGTTGGTCTTGCAGTTGTCCTCTATGCTGTCGGAGGGCTTCCCTTCCTCGTTTGGGGAATGGTAAGATTGTTTTCTCGTAGAATATCCTTTTACTTTTAGGGTTCAGATGTTTCGTAAGTGGATTTTCTTATAATGATCCTGCATACGAATTGATAACAATATAATATAAAATAAAAAACATAATATTATCATAAAAACATGCCGCTATCAAGATATGAATATTGTCTGCATAAGTTCTTATTGTCAGGATTTAATATAACTTATTGCTGGTTTGAATTAGGAGTCTATTTATGCACGTGCAAATTAGTTGAATTTGTGTAGAGTTATTTCCGTTTAAATAGAAGTCTTATTGCTAAAATAGAGTAAGAATACAACCCTTTATATTTTAGTTTTCTCTGTATTGTTTTTTTGAGTAATAATAATTCCAAATTTATTCACAAAAAAAGTGTTAGATATTGAGTCATTTATGGTTTACTAACCTAAAGATGATATATTTTTACTTATAAATTCATGATCAATAAAAAAAAAAAAAAATTGATTGAACAAATCAATGGTAATAATTTGAATTGATTGAAAAAAATGTAGGGAGTGAGGATAGTAAGCTTTCAACATATCACATTCGCGGTAAATTCTTTGGGCCATATGTGGGGAAACCAACAATGGAACACAGGGGATCAGTCGAGAAACAACTGGTTGGTCGAAGTTTGTTTCGTTTCTACGTTACGTTTTCTTTTGTTGTCGTTGAGTAAATGAGCTAATGAAAGGATTCGTTTTTAGGGTATTGGCATTGCTTATATTTGGGGAAGGGTGGCACAACAACCACCATGCATTTGAGTATTCAGCTCGTCATGGCCTAGAATGGTGGCAGCTGGATGTGACTTGGTGGGTGATTTTGGTTCTTGAAGCTATGGGGTTAGCAACGGATGTGAAATTACCCTCTCAACATCACATGCAGAAATTGGGCATGCAACCCAAGTGCGAGTGATGATCATAAATGTGTTCAATCTCTCTCAAATTTTCATGCCTTTTATTTCTCTATGGTTATGTAATATGTATGGGGTATGTTTAAGAATAATGTAGGGAACAAAACAAAAAACTACGACATTATCCTAAAGGATTTATATTTGAGTAAGAAGTGTGTGAACAATAATATGTGCTTTATAAGAATTTGTGTGGGTCTTTTCCTATAACTCAAGCTCTCGTGGTTCGTAATCAATTATATGTAGATAGATACACCATATACTTATGGACATATAAAAAATGTTAGGATCACAAAATTCAGAATGCTACTCATACACGCTATCATAAGGAGCAATTTGTTATTCACGGAAAACTCCAAGTCTCTATGTAACAACCTAATCCTATCGCTAACAGATATTATCCGGTTTGACCCGTTACATATCGCTGTCAGCCTCACAGTTTAAAAATGAGTCTACTACGGAAAGATTTCCACACTTTTATAACAAATGATTCGTTCTCCTCTTCAACCGATGTGAGATTTCACAATACGGTCTGCTAGCGAGGACGCTGGTCCCCAAGAGGGTTGATTGTGAGATCCTGCATTAGTTGGAGAGGAGGATGAAATATGTTTTATAAGAGTATGAACACCTCTCCTAAATAGACCCGTTTTAAAATTATGAGGTTGTTAAACTAGACAATATCTACTGGATGTGAGCTTGGATTGTTACCCTATACACCTACTACCATCTTAACCCTTCTAACTACTAAAAATAAAACTAAATATGAAGTTGTTACAGTCTTCTTTATTATTTTGAATTCAATATGAACCCATATTGATTTAATTGGAGTTTGGAGTTTGGATTGTTGTTTATTTTTAATACTAACACTTTTGAAATGGAGGGGGTTTGATTGAATGTAAGAGGTGGGTTTTGTTGGCCTATTAATATCAATCAATGAATATGCATGGCCTACTTCTTGGGGTGTTGAACAAATAGATTAAAAGGGTAAGGTTTGCTAACGTTTTAAAGCATATAATGATGAAAATAGATAGTAAATTCAGGTTTACACAAAAGGTAAAGTTTACAAAAATGATATTCTGAATTTGATTTAGGTCAGAAAAATGGTTGGGATTTATGATGATGATGGGTATACGCTGCAAAAATAAATGGGTATCCCCAAAAACCCAACCAGCTCTCATGATGGGTTTCAATATTTATAGATCCCAATTAATTTCACAGATGGAGGCATTATTTTGTTTTCAACTTTTCACACATGCTCTTCTTCCACTAATTTCTTCTATAGACTCATTTTCCTTACGACACATCACTAGCACATATTATCTTCTTTAAGCTTTCCTTTCAAAATTAGTTTCCACATTCTTATAAAAAAAATTTCGTTCTCCTCTCCAACCGAGGTGGGATCTTACAATCCACCTCCTTTCAGGGTTCAGCGTCCTCGTTGACACACTGTTTGATGTCTGGCACTATACTATTTGTAACAGACCAAGTCCACCACAAATGAGATTCCCCTCAAGGTTTTTAAAACACTTCTATTAGGAAGAAGTTTCCATAATTTTATAAGGAACTATTCGTTCCCCTCTCTAATTGATGTGGATTCTCGTAGAGTTATTCCCTTAAAACACCGTTGAAAAACATGATACGATCTACGCACGAACATCTAAAGCACAAAACATCTAAAAACAAGTAGAATTTGGTAACTTTTTGTTTGTGTTCATGGTTGGAGTTAAATCAAGGATATAAATATTCAGTTTAGATTTATATGAAATATTGTAACATGTTAGTGAGTAGTTAATATTAGAATGATGAGAGTATGATGGAAGATAAATATTAGAATGAATTTGTAATAATTTGACCCATGCAATATAAAAAAAAAAAAAGAGGAAGCTCTACTTAAATATCTTTGAAGTCAAACAGCACACCATTTTGGAACTTATTTACTACGTACATAGCCTACTTTATGGGACCAACCCTCTACCTGGTTTAATCTATCGGAATATTTTTATAACGATTTGAAAATCTCTCTCTAATAACTGTCCTTTATAATTATGAGGCTGACAATGATACATAACAAACAAAAACGGACAATATCGGCTAGCGATAGACTTAGGCTATTACAAATGGTATCAAAATTAGAGATCGGACGGTGCATCGACAAGGATGTTGAGCTTATAAAAGAAGTGGATTGTGAGGTCCCACCTCAAAAGGAAAAGAAAAATTATTTAAAGATTATGTTATTTCATGATCTTAGCGTGATGCTTAATATTATTCGAGTCCATCATAACCGAAGGATTAACAGTTGTGATCAGCTCGAACGACACCTGCATAGCAGTGCACTGTGTTCTAGCTGGTGTGCGCTTGGCAACAGCGATCTGGAAACTCACAGCGAAAATATGTACACCAAATTATGGAGGAGATCGTTCCGCATGGTCCTCGAAATCTCCTTTGTTTACTCATTATTTTATCTCTGATTCTCTAACATTGCCCTCAATTGACGTGCCTTCATTTATCTCTTCTGCCTTCGCCATGTTTCTCATGTTCCTTAATAAATATCTCTTTGAAAAAAAAACATTATCTTTTTTCTCTCATGCTTCTTAATAAATATATTTTTTAAACTGTGTGGCAATTCGCTCCCTTGTGGCCCATCGTCCTCGTTGGCACACTGCTCGATGCTTGGCTCTGATACCATCTATAACAGCCCAAGTCCACCGCTAACATATATTGTCGGTTTTGGTCCCGTTACATATCGTCGTCAGCTTCACGATTTTAAAATACGTCTGTTAGGGAGAAGTTTCCACACTCTTAAAGCAATACTTCATTCACCTCTCCAGCCGATGTGGAATCTCACAATCCACCTCTCCTGGAGCCCAACATCCCTACTAGCATATCCCCAGTGTTTCACTTTGATACCATTTGTAATGGTCCAAGTCCACCGCTAGCAGATATCGTCCACTTTGACTTGTTACGTATCAATGTCAGTCTCACGGTTTTAAAACACGTTTACTAGAGAGAAGTTTCCACATCCTTATGAGGAATGTTTCGTTCCCTTTTCAACCGATGTGGGATCTCACCGTTATTTTTCTACGCATGCATTAAGTTCAAAAATATGTATATTGAAATCGAAACCAAATTCATGTTTGGTTTCCTTTAGAATATTTGTATGTCACAATAGATTTATGTTATTTTTCATCAATGACGGAGAAAGTTATGAACATTGATATTTTCTAAAATTGCATGCAGATCATTTGATTTTTTGAAATAATTGATCATAATTATTTATTTATTTAATGGAAGCCCATTCTACTATAAATAAAGGCTGAACAAAGCTTGAACCAGCATTTGAGCTGAGGCAGTGGTACCCTGGATTGCCTTTGCTCTTTGCCGTTAATGTCTCTTGCTCCTCAAATGGAGGCAGCAACGAAGGAGGTGGAAGATAAAAATACCGATGAGAAGGCTATGGCCGTGAATGACAAAGCTCCAGTGAGGCCCCGTGGAAGGCCCTTTTTTCAAAGAAGATGGACAACTTTGGACAAACGTTCTGCTGGTCTTCTTTTGGTCTTGCATTTGCTTTGTCTCTTGGCGCCATTTCACTTCACTTGGTCAGCCTTCTGCCTCGCCTTTCTACTCTACAATTTCACGGGCCTCTTCGGTTTGACGCTTTCGTACCACCGACATCTCTCGCACAAGAGTTTCAAGCTTCCCAAGTGGCTTGAATACACGTTCGCTTATATTGGAGTCCTTACTCTTCAGGTTAATCATGTGTTATTTACCTTTCTAAATTTTTATTCTCATTTTTTTTTTCTTTTTTCATTAAGTATTACCTTTGTTATTATAGGGCGATCCAATTGATTGGGTGAGTACACACAGATATCATCATCAATTTGTCGATACAGACAGAGATCCACACAGTCCAAAACAAGGATTTTGGTTTGGTCATATTGCATGGATATTTGATTCGTATGGTTTGACTAAGAAAGTTTGTCCGAAACACGTTGAAGATTTTGAGGAAAGGAATCGAAAACGAAAGCGTTTTAGAAATATTTTTGTGGGATGTTTGAAATATGGAAGACCAAACAACGTGGAAGATTTACAAAAGCAGGCCTTTTATAGGTTTCTTCGTACAACAAACATTCTTCATCATTTTGGTCTTGCAATTGTCCTCAATGCCGTCGGAGGGCTTCCCTTCCTCGTATGGGGAATGGTAAGATTTTTCCTCGTACAATATCATACTACTTTTAATTTAAGGAAAGTGTTCGTAGGTTCATGTAATCAAGACTCAAATGGAACCTTTGTAGTAAGTGTAGTGTAACCGTTTAAGTATTCCGATAGTAGATATTAACTTTTTTGAACTCTCCAATCTATGTGGAATCTCACCATCTTCTTCCATTCGGGGTTCAGCGTCCTTGCTGGCACACTGCCATTGCATTAGTTAAGAAGGCTTTCTCTAAAAGTTTTTAAAATGCATAAGCTAAGAAGATTTTTCCACACTAAGTGAACATAATTTGATGGTTTGAATTGATCGAATAAATGCAGAGTGTAAGAACGGTATGCTTTCAACATGTCACATCTCCCTAAACTCTATCGGCCACATGTGGGGAAACCAGCAATGGAACACCGGGGATCAGTCAAGAAACAACTGGTTCGTCGAAGTTTTTTTTCGTTTTTACATTACATTTTCTTTTGTTGTCGTTGAGTAAATGAGCTAATGAAACGATTGGTTTTTAGGGTATTGGCATTGCTTATATTTGGGGAAGGGTGGCACAACCACCACCATGCATTTGAGTATTCAGCTCGACATGGCCTAGAATGGTGGCAGCTCGATGTAACCTGGTGGGTGATTTTGTTGCTTCAAGCTCTTGGGTTAGCAACCGATTTGAAATTACCCTCTCAACATCACATGCAGAAGTTGGTGTTTCAACCTAAATGCGAGTGATCGATCTCACATGACATACAAAATGTATGAGATCCCCAAAATTTGACCTAATGTATGATGCGAGTCATACCTCCTTTCTGTTCCTAAACAAAACTTTCTTGAATAACATAACATGAAGCGAACATGCTACCATAGTGTGTGTGGCATAATATATAGAGGTTTCATGCATTAAACAACACAGAAGTCACCACAAGATACATAACATGATATAATCGTGTGATACCATGACACATGCGTATCAAATAATCACAAAGTATGACACATGGTCACAAAGAACGTGTCGTTCATACCTCATATAATTCATCCAACTCACTAACCAATACATCTTAATTCCTCCAACCCTAAAAAATACATCTTATTGATATTCACGTACACTCCTAATAAATACTAACCTAGAAATTTAGAATTAAGCATGTTTAATCCGGAGCAATTTACATTAAATTTTGAGGACAAAATATGCTAGGAAACGTAGTGATGTCATAGGAAAAGATCGGGGTCATTAGGCGCCAAACTTTAAATCCTAAATCTTGATATGAATCTTAGACATAAAACATAAAACGTTACATCGAGCCAGTTCGAGTGGAGTTGGGTTGTTATATTTGTTTTTGTGGAAAGGAGATGGTAAGAAAATTGATGAGTGTTAATGGTGAATGGGATGTGGCAGGGAGTGAGGCTTGTTTGGGTGCTGCACATTACTTTCTTCGTAAATTCTGCCTGCCACATATGGGGCTACCGACTGTGGGACACAAATGATTTGTCGAAGAACAATTGGTACACTCACTTTTTGTGTTCTTCAGTAGTTACTGCGTCAAATTCAATTGGTTTTTAGGTATGTGCAAAAGATTGTAAATGTTGGCAGGGTGATAGGGTTGCTTGCCTTTGGGGAGGGTTGGCACAACAACCACCATGCTTTTGAATATTCATCTCGACATGGGCATGAATGGTGGGAGTTTGACTTGACATGGTGCGTTATTTTGTTCCTTCAAGCCCTTGGATTGGCAACTGATGTGAAGTTACCCTCTCCACGCCATCAGCAAAAGTTAGCTCTAAACCCTAAAAGAAGTTGATGATTTCTAGACACTTGTTTCATGCATTCTTTGAGTTAAGACTTGTTTGATGTATTGATTGGACTATACATAGTTTGTTAAGTTCGAGTTTGAATTATGTGTGACATTCGAGTAAAAGAGATTTATATGAATGAACTGAGATCATGTTTAAATGAGAGCGATCATAAGGATAGAATGACTATAAAAAACTTAGGAAATTGAAAGTCAATATCTATACTAACAAGGTGCACATTCTTTTTGGTGCCATAATTATAAGAACTTTATGGTTAAACATGTTTTACTTTGAGTAATTCTATATTGGGTGACCTCTTGGTAATTTTCCTTAGATACACGTGAGTAATGATAAAACATGCTGGATGAACGATAGTTTTTACTCTTAATAAGCAATGACGTGTATCTAAAACATGCTGGATGAATCTTAGGCATAAGGTCGTTGCATTATGTCCATAGACTTATCATATGTCACACCAATTATTAAAAAATTTAGAAGATGAATGGAAACTTACTCTAAACTATAATTTAACCTAATCTTATTATATAATACAAATTAATTGGAGATAATTGATTTGAGAGATGTCCACCAAATAAACTATGGTACCCAAATTAAATGTCAAAAGTAGGGCAACTATTAAGTGCAATAATGTGTTCTTAGGAAAGCGAAGCTTTTGTGTCCTTAAAGAGCTATTGCTATATCACATCATGTGGGTACCATGCTTTCAATCTTTGCATGTGACTCCCTCTGTTTGGGGTTAGGACTCATTTGAATTTAATTAGTCTCATCACTAGAATTCTATTCAACTAATTTGGACTATGATCTCGACGGATTCAAGTCAACTCTATTAAACGTCATGAGTGAAGACTATGTGTACAGACCAACACGTGCATCACCTCTGACATGGTTAAATTACCCACTCCTTACTTCTAGGAGAGAAAACTACTCCCACAAATTAACTATAAAGTTTCTGTGATTGAAACATCGAAAATGAGGGTGCACCTTATTAGTATGCTAGTTACTTTTAATTCTTGTAAGTTTTTTTTTAGTTATTTTCAGGATACTTGAATTTGAGAATAGGTGGAGAGAAGCAGGCCAGAACTCGAAGCTGAGAACGGTGGCCATGGATACTTGGAACCAACAATGGGTAAACAGGCGGCGGACGAAGATCACAAAACTCAAGAAAATGATTAAGACGAGTCAGGAATGGTTGATGGTTAGATAAGCTTTGTAACGTAAAAAGGATGAGTGTTATCATATTCAAGATATGGATCCTCCTAATATGGGTAGCCTAACCACTTCCCTTTTTATTTTATTTATATGGGAAGTTTAACAATTTGTGCATATGCTTAACAACTTCCCTTATATTTTGAAGTTTTATTCAATTAGATTCTCCTTGCAGTACAGTCAAATTCAACCATATTATCACCTTTTGTTCATTACATATCTTCCTCACCTCACTAGCACTAGCACGTGTCTACTAGTGAGAGATTCCTGGTTCCCCTCTCCATCTGAGATCTCACAATCGGCTTGAGCCGTTACAAATGGTAGCAGAACTAGACACTCGACAGTGGCCTAACGAGAATGAATTGTGAGATCCTACATCCAGTTGAGAGGAGAACGAAACACTCTTAAAGGTGTATAATAGTAGAACTGTGAGGCTGACAATGACAATATAACTGGCTAAAATAAACCATATTTATTAATGGTGAGTTTAGAAAGTGTATTAAAGAAGAACTCAAAAATGATACTCAATTGGACATAGCATGTTGTAAATGGTATGAACATGTGGGATCTCTCCTACCACAACAAAAAAGCAACGTTTTGACTTGTCCGAATTGAGGAACAAAGGGTGAGAGAGTACAAATTAGAATAGACGTGTTTCATATTCAAAACCACAAGGTGTATGAAACTTGCCCTAAGAGAGACAGACGTAAAAGAACAAAGAAGTGTTCCCGAAAAATGAAATAGTTTCCTTTTTAGTGTTTAATAGTTTTAGGAAAATAAAAAGGCAAAACAAAAACAGGGGTTTAGTCATCTTTAAGAGATCTCAATATCTGGGTCAAATTTCTAGCATCAAATTCCCTTCAAATCCTTCACAAACTGATCATTTTTTCTCTTCTAACTTATTAAATTGCCCCCAACAGTCTACCAATTCAGAGTCGGCGGTTCTTGTATTGTTCTTTCTCCTATGGCTCTTCTCAATTCTCGGTTGTCCGATTCCAAATTCCACCGCTTTCCATCCCTCCGCCCTGCAATTCACCATCCCCGCCTGATGGCCGTCAGTTTCCGATCGGTTTCTGGCGACCCATTAGGCTCAAACTTAGTGGGTCGTTGCAATTTCAAATCCTTGAGGCTGAATTCATCGAGTAGGATCCAAAACAGAGCAACTCCACCGCTGACAGAGGCATTTGAACCAGGGTCGCCGCCGCCGCCGGCTACTGGGAAAAGGATTTTGTTGTCGGATGTGGTGGTGAGGCGGCCGAAGGAGGTGTTTTCGGGACGGAAATGGACTCTTCATGACATCGGAACCGCCGGAGTGGTGGCGGCGGCTCATTTACTCGCTCTTTTGGCTCCATTTCAGTTCAATTGGGCTGCATTTTGGGTCGCAGTTTCTTTGTACATTGTCACAGGTCTTTTCGGAATTACCCTTTCGTTTCATCGGAATCTTTCTCATCGCAGCTTCAAACTTCCAAAATGGCTAGAATACTTCTTCGCTTATTGCGGAGTTCAAGCACTTCAGGTTCAAATCAAATCCTATTTTTTCCTCAAATTTGAAAATCTACTCTGTTCTGACTCTGTTTTTGTATCTGTTTAGGGGAATCCATTGAATTGGGTCAGCACGCATAGATATCACCATCAATTTTGTGATTCCGAAAGAGACCCACATAGCCCAATCGAAGGCTTTTGGTTTAGCCACATGAGTTGGTTGTTTGATATCAAAACCATGACTGAGAGAGTGAGAAATTTTACTCTGTTCTTGGCTGAAATTTTACCCCTAATTAATAGATTCTAACTTATAAATTGGTTTTTTTTTTCAGTGTGGAGGGCAAAAAAACGTTGGGGATTTGCAAAAACAGCCATTTTATAGGTTTATTGAAAGAACTTATCTTCTTCATCCGATTTCTCTTGGTGCTCTGCTCTACACAATGGGTGGATTTCCATTCATTGTTTGGGGAATGGTAAGATGAATTCTTCTTTTTCTTTCACATGCACTGATTTTGGGTAAATAATGAATCAAAGACTTGTGTTTTTGTTCTTGATTACAGGGTGTGAGATTAGTTTGGGTGTACCATATAACCTGGCTGGTGAATTCAGCTTGCCATGTATGGGGAAATCAGGCTTGGAAAACAGGGGATTTGTCTAGAAACAATTGGTAAATTTGGCCCTTTTATACGATGATTTCAACTGATCCGACCAAAAATACCTTAAAATGTTAATGATATGTTTGTTGGTGAAGGTGGGTGGCGCTGTTTGCATTTGGAGAAGGGTGGCACAACAACCACCACGCATTTGAGTTCTCGGCGCGACATGGGCTAGAGTGGTGGCAACTCGACATGACATGGTACGTCGTCCGGCTTCTTCAAGCTCTCGGTTTGGCCACAGATGTGAAGATACCAACACAGCTTCAGAAGCAAAACTTTGCTACTGTCAACGCCACATGACTTTGTACCAACTTTTATTACCCAAATCTTAGATCCAAAAGCTGTATGCTTTCTCGTTCCGATAGTTAAAATGTAACGACCCGAATTTCTTAACGAAAATTCCATACTTTTAATGCAAATTGAACACTACAAGAAGTAAGACATGGTAGAGAATTCGCATAGCTCTTCAAGAATATGTCTCACTTTTATTGAAAAGTTCTCAAAATGCCTTGTGGTTCTCTACTACAAGTGTGCCCCTTTCATCTGTGTTTTGGACACCAAAATGTCAAGCTCCCATTGAAATACACGGTGCTCGCACCTCTTACCAACATGTTGCTTTCTTGGAAATCTCTCAGGCGTTAACTAGCTAGCCTTAGGCTCCAAAATGTAATACCAAAGTTAATGTAATATCAAAGTTGTGAGATCAAACCCAACTCGGTATTATTAAAAAAATAGAGATCTCAGAGTTTGAGAAGGTAACGAAACATTCTTTCTTCATAAGGGTGTAAAAACTTCTATAATAACATACGCGTTTTAGAAAGTTTGAGGGAAGCCCAAAGAAGAACAATATCTACTAATAGGCTTGGACCGTTACAAATGGTATCGGAGCCAGACACTAAGCAGTGTGCCAGTAAGAACGCTGAGCCCCAAAGTGAATGGATACCGAATGAGTGCCAACAAGGACGCTGGCCTCGAAGGGGGTGAATTGACTGATCCTAGTTACAAATGGTGGATTGCGAAAACTTCTCCATAGCATACGTGTTTTAGAAAGTTTGAGGGGAAGCCCAAAGAAACAATATTTGCTAATAGGGTTTGGGCCGTTACAAATGGCATCAGAGCTAGAGAACAATGTGCCAGCAAGGACACTGAGCCTCAAAGGGAGTGGATACCGAATGAGTGTCAACAAGAACACTGGGGCCCGAAGGGAGTGGATTGTGAGATCCCAGTTGGAGAGGGGAATGGAACATTATGTATAACGGTGCGGAAACCTCTCCCTAGCATATGCATTTTAAAAACTTTTTAAGGGAAGTCCAGCAAAAAAAGCCTAAAGAGGACAATATCGACCAGCAGTGAGCTTGTGCCGTTACAAAAGTACGTATTATCTACGACACATCATAATCACATGATTATTCAATTTCAGCAAGCCTACATACAAAAACTTGAATAGATAATGATTAAGAATGTTGAGCAACGAGTCAAAAATTGGTTTGGGAAAGAGTGAGAGGCAAAGGCAGCCATGAATGAGGTAAGCTAATGGCTTTTGAAGATGAAAAGAAGCCACAAACTAAAGCAAAACAAGAGATAAAAGCCACGAAATTCAACCACTTCAAAAGGGTTGTCTTGTTTTTTTGTCTTGCAGGAATTTTGGAAAAGAACAAACTCGTACCCCCGACATTTGGAATTTCGAAGCTAACAAGGAAAGAAGAGTTAAGGAACTAACAAAACAATGGTAATACAATGATGTCCTTAAAAAGGACACTCAAAAGAATGGTCTGCTTTGTGTGTAGTCTCCACTGTAGAAGTGCACGGGACACACAAAGCATGGTTTAAAGGAAACTGTTTCCTTCTTTTCAATACTCCTTACTCTTTAATGGTCAATATCATATAGTACTGAGTAATATTATAACTATTCGCTTACCACAAGTTGCTCGATTGTTAACATAATAAAACTATATAGGGTAAATGATCCTATAGTAAACAATTATGTACATTGTAATAATGATCATGTGTAGTAAGCAAAGTAAAAAGTTGGTAAACGTATAGATTTTTTCTCATCTATTGTTTGTGTTCATCTGGATCGAATTCTTTGTGTTCACCAAAATTAAATGTGTACGTTATTGTGCGATTCTAAGAATAATATTGTTAGTAGAGAAAAGATAAGGTTAATTAAATAGTTGGGTGACGACTTAGATAGGTAAGAAGCATGCATTAGGGTAGTGAGGAAGTCGAGGTAATTATTAAGAAATGAAACATGCTTCAAGAACAAGGGTTAATTAATTATTTCTTTACCCATAATCCCAGTTATGCTCTCTTTGCTGCACACTTTTTAATAACTTTAAGTAATTCATTCCAAAAAGTGCTTCTTTTTCTTTTGTAACTTTAACATTTTGGCTTACATAATTTAAACCATCATTTGCTTCTTAGATACATTCAAACATGTTCTTTTATTATTTTTGATCGAATCATTATCACCTTTCTTGTAATTCATGCTCTTTCGTACACAAAACCCCCCATCTTTCTTATCTACCTTATATCATTTTTTATAATTTATTTTGAAGGACGGGGTATTGTACGGCTCTAATATCATTTTTAACAGCTTAAGCCCAAAGCTAACAAATATTGTCTACTTTGACTCGTTACGTATCGCCACCAGCCTCACAATGATAAAACGCGTCTACTAGGAGAGAGGTTTCCACACCCTTAATAGAAATGTTTCGTTCTCCTCTCCAACCGATGTGGGATCAAGGATCTCACAAGACTAAAGAAAATGCTTAAAAGAATGGATAGTTATTGTCTATTCAACAAGGTGGATCTTTCTTCTCATAAGCTTAATTATAAGAACTTCAAAATTAAGCCACCCGTGGTTATACCGATAAAAGCTTGAAATATAATGAAGAAAGGAAATGAATGGTGTTATTATTATTGTATCAACCTGTTATTCAGTGAGAGTGTTAAATGAAGTGCCCATCATCAGCACTTGAAAACTGGGAAATGAATTCCCCTTTTATAATCATTTATTTACTTTCCCCACCATTTACACTCTATCACCACCTCCATAACCCCTTATTTATGGGTCGCTCAAAACCCTAAACTCCCAAACTCCTACGCCCCTCCCATAAACAACCAAATTCCATTTTCCCATTATATAAATATAATATAATATATACACATAAAAAGAGTTGCCAACCAAAAAGTTCTGTGCTTTAACACTGTAACCCCTTGAGACCATGAGTTTTGCAGCTCCAAAAAAAAAAAAAAAAAAAAAAAAAAAACCCATCTTTTGTTTCTGAAATGGCGAGTGTCAACCTGACAGGCAACCGGTTGCAGATGTCTGTCGGGTGGGAGTCACTGAGTTAATTCCCTCCGCCGCTTCCTTCTGACAGCACGCGAGGTTACTGGCTACTGGCGGAGCTGGTCACCCTCCATCCATTCCCACACCACCCTCTTCTCTTACATTTGTCTACTTGATACCCCACATTCTTACCTCGAACAAGTCCCAAACCAGCACGCCTTGAGTCGTCCATAAATTGTCTCCGATTTGGGAAGTGAAGTACACTCTCTAACACGTGGAGGGAGGTGATTGGGTTGTGTAGTCCACGGTGTGGGTTGGCGTGTGGGAGATGGGGTTGGATCATTCCGGAGCAGTGCCTTTAAATACTGGAGTGGGATGTCAATTCGGTGAAGGGTAACCCCAAAAGGCAAAAGCTTTCAGTTTTTTGTCGAAGGTTTAAGGACAGTGATTCATAACTGATTTGTTTGTTTGAGGATTTTGGATTTGTCGATCAGCCGCCAAAACGGGTCTGCCTCTGTGGATGCTTGGCTTCAGCGCCGACAGGTTGCGAGCCGACATGAACCGCTTACTCGCCCTACTCTTCCACCAAGTAAATTTCATAAACTCTCTCTTTTATTTTTCACTTTTTCATTTTGTGGCTTTACAATGCGATTGTTCTTCAATAAGGACTCAAGGGTTTTGCTTCAATTACTCAAAAAGATGAAATTTTTTTGTGTAATAATGATTTTTCTAACAAGGGTTTAATGTGTTTCTTCAAATTTTAGAACCATATTAAATGTTTTGCTTGAACCACACTTAAAATGGGGAGAAAATGATGTTCGAATCGTTAGATGAACATGACTCTCCACAATAGTATGATATTGTCTACTTTGAGCATAAACTCATGACTTTACTTTAGGTCTCTCTAAGAGGCCTTGTACCAATAATAATAGTATTCATTGATTATAAACTTATGATCATTCCTTAAATTAGCCGATGTGGGACTTTCATCCAACATGAATGAGTTTGAAAATTCTTGCTTATATTAAACGTTCATCACTAAATTAAATTTTTGGAATGTAGGGAGTATTAGACGAACAATTCTTGCAGCTACAACAGCTTCAAGATGAAAGCTCTCCAAATTTCGTATTGGAAGTAGTGAACATTTACTTTCAAGAATCGGAGCGGCTCTTGAAAAGCCTAAGAGCTTTGTTGTAAGTCTTTGTTTTGTAGTTCTCATGCACAGACACACAAAAGATTAAGAATAAGAAAAAGAAAAAGAAAAAGAAAAAGAAAGGTTGTTGATGGGGTTAGGGTTTTTGTTTGGATTGGACAGAATTGAGAGAGAGCTGACTGATTACAAGAAGATGGGAAACCATTTGAATCAGCTGATGGGGAGCAGCTCAAGCATTGGAGCTAACAGAGTCAGAAATGTTTGCATTGCATTTCGAGCCAATTCTGAACAAAGCAACCGTGCTGGGTAATTATTTAATCAAAACCCCCCATTTTTATCCTTTTTATCTTCTTATTTATCATCATTCAAAAAAACACATCATCTGGTGAAAATTGGAATCATTTAAAAGTTCGATCATGTGTTTATAAGTAAGTAATACATCTTTATTGGTACGAGATCTTTTGGATCTTAATTGTCCAAATAATAAACATTTGTTTTGATTGGCAGGTGTTTGAGAGCATTGGAAGTTCTTGAACACGAGTATTGCTATTTAAAGAGCAAACTTCACGAGCTGTTTCAGGTGAGTTGAAGATGGGGAAAGATGAAAGTTTTATAAAAATTGTTACACAAAAAAGGCAGCTTTTTTATTTAGCTTTTGTAATTTGCATGTGATGCAGATAGAGCAGCAAAGAGTGTTGGGCGCAGGAGTTAGGTACCCAATGCAACAGAATTGAACCCAAAAACTAAAAAAGAAGAAGAAGAAGAAGAAGAAGTGATTTTATTCAGAAAAGGAACAATGGAATGGCTCATTGGAAAACCCTACTTTTTCTTTTCTTCACCTCAAGCATCTTTTCATTTCTTTTCTTTTCTTTTTGTAGAGTTATAATTCTTTCTTCCTTTTCTTTTCTTGGTTTTCAATCCACTTTTATCCGCCAAAAACTGCTTCTGCTTGTAATGTTACATTCAATCTAATCATATTCTCACCAACTTTCCCTTTTTTTCTTCTCGTTCAAACCGATATTAATTGCTTCAAACTACTAGAGAGCTAGGGGTTTCCACATCCAGAATGCTTTCTTCCCCTCTCCAACTGATGAGGGATCTCATAATCTACTCCTCTTGGGGCTAGCATCATCGCTGGCATACCACTCAGTATCTGGTACTGATACCATTTGTAAGGAGTCAAAGTTGATGATATCTACTACGGGTAGACTTAGACTGTTACAAGAAAGTTTGATGTTGAAAATTGTTTGGGAGTGTAATAGATGGAGTATGATATGGACATATAGAGCAAGTAATGATCGAAAATAGGTCAGGGGCATTAGGGTCTCATTATGCATATGAACATGAGATTAAAGGGTTTGGAAATGAACAAGACAAGAAGCATAAGGGATTGAGAGTTGTAGCCATTGAAGCATTGATTTGAGGTCAAAATATGTGGTGGAAGAAGAAACCCTCGAATAGGGCATCACAATCAAACACTCAACTCATCAATATTAAACTTTAATTGCTCATACATTCATATTAGGGTTTCCAAAACAGTAACAACAATTGCGTTATTTCATCGTTACCTTACCATAAAATAGTTTTTTCAAAAAAGGAAATTTATCTAAAATGATATTATTCTTGACTTAAATTATTCTCCATCTTTTAACTTGGTGTCAAATCATTTCACGTCTCGAAAAGAAAATTGAGCTAACTGTGACACAACAAATAGTTAAAAAGACCGATAAACACGACTAATATGGACAGCAAATGAATATATAAAAAATTTACAAGGTAATAAAAAGAAATTAGAGTTATATGATGGAAGGGAATAAACTTTAAAAGGGCATAAAATAGGGTAAACTTAGGGTTAGAACATAAATAAATGAAAATTAGGGGTTTGTGGCTCAAAATAAACATTTTATTTTGTCTCCAAAATTCCACTATAAAGGCATTGCTTTGAAGCTTGTACTGTCCTCCATTAATATCCCTAAACTACCCTAACTTGGAACATTTTATTATAATTGGAAATATTAATTTATTTTTATTTAATTAAATAATTAAGAAATTATTAGATAGTGACGTGTCCCCATAAAACCCAAAACGCCAAAAAGCATATAATAATTTCTTCATGTGGTGTGACTTAATAAATATCCCCTATTTCTTCATATCCATCACGTTTACATTATTATCCTATCAACTCAACCAATTAATATTCCATCTACTATGTTTTTTAATAAAGATAAATATACCATTATATCTTCCAAATCTTATTCATTTTTTATATTTAATCACTTTTTTATTTAATATTTGTTGGCAAAATATATCTTCATTTCCAAAAAAATCATATCTAAATAATTTTTCTTTTTAAACTTTATCCAAATTCAATCGAAAGTACATCTCAGTCGCAAGAAATAATGAGCCCTACCAACTTGTCGATATGATTGAAGAAACCTAAATTTTTTAGGTTATGGCCCGGAGCCCTACGCGATCCTCTTCGAGCTTGTCTTTGACACTCGTGTTGTTTGATTTTCTGGAACTTTGCGTATACCTAGATTTAGTTTCAATGCACATTTTTTTATGTGTTAGATATTCACTATTTTTCTCCATCACATCAGGACATTTTTCATTGAGAATCTCTCTTTGTTTTTTTTTTTTAATGCATGAGATCACAACCTATTTTCTCTAAGTCAAATTTAGGGTACGACTCTAATATTATTAACAACTTTGGAGATACACTAGATCTCGATCTGGAATATGATTCTCAATTCTACTCGATAAAAATAAATTGAAAAAAAAATATATTTTTACAGGACCAAAAAAGAAATACGAACACTTGAAACGCGCCAAACTTTAACCTACACGTTCAAACCAGACCCACCACTATCACTCGCCCATTTCTTCGCGAGTTCTCTTTGCTGAGCCGTCCCGCCGACCCTTCAACCTCTGTCCCTTTCTCTTTCTCCTCCACTTATTCGCATTCTATCTTCTTTATAAGAGGACAGAGCTTCCCATTTCTCTGTATCACCAAAAACCCACTAAAATGAAGGTTTCTTCCATTGATGACTCTCAGTTTTTCCATAAAGGAGTCGGCATCGCCTCCTCCACCGCCACCACCACCACTACTACCCATCTCACTGTCATGAAAACCTCTCTCTTCTTCGCCGGAGATGGATTTACCGTTTACGATTGCAATGGAAGACTCGTCTTTCGAGTCGATTCATACGGCCCTGATTCTCGTTACAAAGATGAGCTGGTTCTAATGGACCCTCATGGACGATGCCTCTTCACCCTCCGCCGCAAGGTAATGCCTCATTTCTGTTTATTTTTTGTTGAATTCAAGTGGGTTTTGGGTAATTTTGGATTTGGGTTCTTGTTTTTCGAGTTTTGTGTTATGGGGTTTTTACTCTGTTTTTTTCTACGAAAACAGAGGCCGAGTTTGCATCAACGGTGGGAAGGGTATCTCCATGAGAGAATCAACGGTCAAAGACCGATCTTCGGAGTGCGGCGGTCGTCGGTCATAGGAAGGTCGAGTGTCACGGTGGAGATGTACAGAAATTCCAGCGAGGAGTATCAAATCGAGGGGTCTTTTGGGCAACGTTTATGCAAAATTTTGAACGCGAAGAAAGAGACAGTGGCTGAGATTAAGAGGAAAGTTGATGCTTCCACCAACGTGTTGCTTGGAAAAGATGTTTTTTCTCTCTCTGTGAAGCCTGGTTTTAATGGAGCTTTTGCCATGGCCTTGGTGCTTGTTCTTGATCGGATCAACGGTGATGATGGGGTTTATTCTAGCAGCGAACCAAATCGGACCCTTAATTGATTTTGAGGCTTTTTTTTTTTTTTTTTTTTTTTTTTTTTTTTTTTTTTTTTTTTTTTTT